ACGTTCCCCATGACCACAGACGGAACAAAGGGCTTGAATCTCCACCGCTTCTCCCTGCGCCTTGCTTTTAACTTAGCGCTTGCCCGGCATCCACGATACGGCCGTCTCACATCCCGAGGTAGATGTGGTACAGCACCGGCACTGGCCGAAGTCCTGAGAGCGACCAGCTGATCTCTCAAGTAAACAAGTCCGTGATCGTTCAGTAATATGAAGTCCATATTCGTAGGATAGAAAAAAAATATATTAAAACAACACTATACTAAACATATAAATATATAAATGACAATGTTTAAAATAAAAGTGGGCTATAAAACACCGAAAAACACGAGAGCACAAACAAAGCTACTGGGGGAGCTGCCACTTGCAGCTGGCGCTCATTAGCCATCAAAATCTCACTGCAATCTGTCAGATGATCTGGTGGTTTATTCAAATTCATGAAGGGATCACATTAACACTTTACGTGAAGTGTTTACAAGACTTGTGAAAGCCTCATTAACGGTGAATCTGGTCAAGAGTGAATTTGTTAAGGTAGTAGTTACTGGGTAAACAAGTGGGCCATGGTCAGGGACGTCCTGTTAACGCTAAAGTGGAAGCGATTATGGATTTCCCATAAAACGAATGACTGGGTACTATAGAGCTTTTTGCAGGAATGTTTGACTATAGTTTCCCCTTTAACTGATGTGGAGTACGGCTAGAGAGTTGAACTGAACTCTGAGTGTGATCACGCTTTTGCTGCTGCTGAAGATCTTCTTTGTAATGCGAATGTTCTCTCTCGCCTGACTTGTTCAATCTTGAAGTGGACACAAGTGCATTAGGCCGTGTGTCCACCAAAGCGTTTTTAGCCAGCTGAAAACGCTAGACGCTCTGCTGAAAACGCCTAGCTGTGAGCGCATGAGAGCGTTTTGGAAGCGCAGCGTTTTTTCCGTTGAGACGTTTCGTTGCTATGATACAGAATATCCGCAGCACCGTTTACTTGTAACTGATTTCGCAGGTAATTTGTTTCATACTGAAATTTTTTTTTTTATCCATTTTGTTCAGTTTGCTCTGCTGGTTGATGTCGTTGTACAGAAAGAATGTTGTGACAGTTGGTCGGTGTGATATTAGTCCCGCCCCTCCTCCACTGTGATTGGACGGTTGGTGAAAAGTGACAGTGATGAGCGCTGCGTTTTATCCAAAAGTTGAACATTTTTCAACTCTCGGCGACCAGTAAAAACGCCGGGCGCTCAGCGCTTCAGCGTGTAAAAAACGCCGAACGCTCAGCGCTTGAGCGTTAAATACACGCTCAGCGCCTCGTTGCGCTCATGGCGTTTAAAAAAACGCGGCGCTCCCATTGAAAACAATTGAAAACGTACGCCAGGCGCGAGTAAAAATGCTTTGGTGGACACACGGCCGTACCCCTCATTTACACTGCACACGTCTGCGGCGCATTACGGCTGCGACACGGCTACCGGAGCTGATCGCGGCCATTCTAGTCAATGCGTGTGTTTACACCTGCCGCGAAGCGGCGCGTTTCAGAAGCTTCCCAGAAGCTGCTCTCCGCGCCGCTTCGCTAAAGATAGGCGCCTAGTCTATTTTTGACGGACGCCGCGTCCAAGCCGCACCGTAAATACAAAATAAAAGTAAAAAAACACTGTCAATTTCATAATAAACACCCTGTGCAGAATCCCAGTTGTATTGCACACCGATATATCCTTGGTAAAATCCATAGACTGTAGGTAGACACACAAAAATCAAGAAAAACCACGCCGGACAGGCAAATCACGTGGTCTCGCGCATCCAGGCGCTTCGCTTCTGAAATGCTCCTGGTGTGAGTTGGCACTGTGTGAAGGACGGAATAAAACCGTGTCGCAGCCGTAATGCGCCGCAGACGTGTGCAGTGTAAATGAGGGGTTAGGCTGTGGAGCGGTGTTAATACAGCACAGTAAACTTGGCATTGACCACCCGATATGTTACTCCTCTAAGAAGTTTTCAAAAGCCCAAAGACAGTATATCACTATTGAAAAGGAAGCTCAGCATTACTTCTTGCTTTACAACATTTAGAAGTATATGTAGGAGGCAGATCTGAACCTGTCGCAGAGTTTACTGATCATAATCCCCTTGGGTTTTTAATGCATATGTGTAATTCAGCAGATTAGATTTGAATCAGTTGAACGTCACAACTGAAAGTTTAACTCTTTCCCTGCCAGCGTTTTTGACCATTTTCACTAAATTGTCATGGCCCCCAGAATATTATTATAATATAAAACTCTGAAAATACTTTCACTTCTGACAGCAAAAGTTGCTAAACATGTTTGGTGTGTAAAAGCGAGCTCATGCCATCTAGTTCATAAACAGCTCAGTTATAACAGAGACTAATACCTCACAAGTTATGAACAGTTATCATTTAAAGATTTTATGATTATGTGTTGGCAATTCTTTTTTATAAAGAGGTTTGCGGGTTGGCGTTATTGAGTTATTTAATCTCATGAATATAAAGTTATGCACAAATAATATCAAAACATCTTGGATCTGTGTATTAAAAGTAGCGTATTTACCCATTGCAGGAAAATTTTAAATAAAAAACATTACATTTAAAAAAATTTGCAGAAATCATTCAAGTTGCACATCAAGTTCTCATTACACAGTAATTTCAGGGAGTTTTGTCCTCAAAGTATAGTTACATATTATTTATTGTTTTTATCGCCTTCGTAGGCATTGTGAATCACCTGTGTATGAAATGTGCAATATTACAGTGAAAGAATTGCAGTGCTGTGCTCGGTCCTGTAGGGGGCAGCAAACACATATAAACTTGTGTTACTCTGCCACGAGAGGGAGCCATTGCCTTTAACTGTTTCTGCACACATGAACATGCACGGCCTGTGTATGCATATAACAAGATACAAGTATGCAGCATATTTTATGCAGCTATGCATATTTGCATACAAAAAATGCATATTTTTTATTTAAAAAATTCTCATTCTGAACTTATTTAAGTCATTTATGTAAATAGATTACCATGACCAGATTTACTTTTCAAAGACAGTCCATTGGATGATCGAAAAAAGTGGCCACCAGTGTGTTGCTGCTGCCTGCTCATTTGCATACCAAAACATTATCATGTAAGAAGATATGTGGTATTTGAAATAAATCTCTATAAAGTCTCTGTGTCTCTACAGGAATTTGACTTTATTTTCCCACGTTTGTGTTTGTGTCTGTAAATGCCTTCAGAATAACAGCACAATTTCGAGAAAAAACATGCACAGCGTCCAACACACACCATCCTCCTCCACTCCAGTGTGTGTGTGTGTGTGTGTGTGTGTGTGTGTGTGTGTGTACATGTTTTTCTACCCCAGTGGAGGATAGTGACTTAACCCTGAATGCACAGACTCATGGGGACTCGTGTCACTGGGGACCTAAATTGAGGAAACAAGCTCATAAATCATACAGAATTATTATTATTTTTTGAAAATGTAAAATTGCAGAAAGTTGTCTGTGATGGGTAGGTTTAGGGGTCAGGCTTGTGTGTGTGTGTGTGTGTGTGTGTGTGTGTGTGTGTGTGTGTGTGTGTGTGTGTGTGTGTGTGTGTGTGTGTGTGTGTGTGTGTGTGTGTGTGTGTGTGTGTGTGTGTGAGCAAGTAAATGAGTGCGTGTGCGTGCGTGCGTGCATGCGTGTGTGTGTGTGTGTGTGTGTGTGTGTGTGCGTGTGTGCGTGTGTGCGGCGTGTGTGCGTGTGCGTGTGTGTGTGTGTGTGTGTGTGTGTGTGCGTGTGTGTGTGCGGCGTGTGTGCGTGTGTGTGTGTGTGTGTGTGTGTGTGTGTGTGTGTGTGTGCAGCGTGTGTGCGTGTGTGTGTGTGTGTGTGTGTGTGTGTGTGTGTGTGTGTGTGTGTGTGTGTTACGGACAGAGCGGGATCTGCAGGTCAAAGGTCACGCTGGGACTGAAGCAGGACGTGGGAATGAGAGGCCGGAAGAGGAGGATGTTCCTCTCAATGTTTATATGCCCTGGAAAACAGCAGAAAGAAAGAAAAGAACAGACGGAGGGATGTTCCCTTCATAACAAGGATTATTATTATACTGTGACAATGCATGTAAAGTGTTAGGAGTCTTTATCATGAACTGATCATGATTGAGAATATGTTTTATGTTGAATACACTGTTCTGATGTGTGAATGAGCCGGAGCGCATTAAGGGTTTTCTGTTAGAGCGGTGTCGTGTTAGCGGCCCATAAGTTAATCACTAATGATCTTTACAACAGAAGTGAATCAATCAAAACTAACTTTATCTGGACAATAACTTTATTCTAGAGCTGCTGTAAAGCCTAAACACTCTCTGTTACTGTAATCTCCTGTTATCACTGTAAAGATGCTGTCAAACTCTATATTGTTAAAGCGCTGTATAAATGAAGGTGACTTGACTTGTGAATCATGAGGACTTTGATTGAATTATGCATAATGTAATATATTTACACACTAATTCTTAGAAGTTACTTTGCCATGAATGCATTTCATGTATAACACAGAACCGAACACAATCATTCCTGACAAAGTCAAATTCAACATTCTCTAAATCTGCTTTAATAAAAGAGAAGCTCCTGCAGTCTGACTGTAAACACAGATCCAGATGCGTGTGTGTGTGAGAGAGAGAGAGAGAGAGCGAGAGAGAGAGCGAGTATATGTGCCTGATGTTGATCTTTGTAAAGTGGAAGTTTAGCTGGACATAAGCATGTATATATATATATATATATATATATATATATATATATATATATATATATATATATATATATATATATATAATTATTATTATTTAGATATAATAAGCCAGCAAAGCGGTTCCACAGGGTAAATCCGTTCATAAATAACCCGCCACATGTGTTGTGATTGGCTGCGCGAAGTAAAGAGACCGGAGGGCAGTCTCTGATTGGCCCGAACTTGCACACGCAAATGAGGGAGGCGTGTCTGTTGTGTCTGTAGTCCCGCCTCGTTTCCTCTCGCAGTCAGTGAATGAACAGCTCTGGGTCTGCAACGCTCAGATTAGAAGGAAACACAGAGAATATGGACTATGATGGTTTTTGAAGCAAAACAGGTACGTTTCTGTGTTGTTTTGTAAGATTGTGGTTAATAAATGGGAGTAGTATTTTTGAACTGGTCATGTGCCAGCGCATGATGAACATGAACGCGCAAATACGAGTTATCAATCGCGCCACAAGAGTTTTAAAAGCTTTTAAACTGCGACCGTTAAACCGTCAGACGCGTAAACTCTTCCGTCAGTCGCGGCCGTGTGAAGATAAAGACAAACATTTCACAGAAACGCGATGTTTGGAAGCTGTCACGGGTGTTTTAGGGGGAAACGGCGAAGATGTTGGAGAGTAGATGTGGTAATCCTTTGCTCTCTGAGGGGATTTGGGGTTTAAAGCTCATGTCTGACCATCTGCCCTCAGAAAACTGCCAAAACAGCCTAAAATTAGCCAGATACCGCCAGTCCGGAGAAAACGTCTGAAAAGTGAGTATAGTTTATGAAATTACATAAACAATGCAGTCAGCTGGACCAGGACGGTCTTCAGACATTTCAACATATTAAAAACAGGTTTCAGAGAATATTAGTGGTTTTGATTAAAGATAAACATTTTCTAGTAATAAATGCGCATGTGATTTAATATAACGTTAGCTACCTGACTTTTCCCTAACGTTAATTAATAACTATAAATAGTCATCTAAATACATTATCTGATGACACACACACACACACACACACACATGGGATATATACACATATTATATATGAAACGTACATCTAAATCTTAAATATTGCTGTTTACACAACTCCAGAGACACAATGAGGTCATTATAACACATTGTGTTATTATTAATCAGTATTTTGACTCTCTTCTGAATGTTTCTATCTCTTTTCTCCTTCATATGCCTCTCTCTATGGAAGCTTGTTTCTTCCACAGAATAAAACATTTTAAAACATAATTGCGACTTTTTTTCTCACAATTGCGATTTACATCGTGCAATTTCTCAGAATTGCGTAATATAAAGTCGCAATTGCGTGTTATAAAGTCAGAATAGCAAAATATAAAGTCACAATTGTGTTATAAAGTCTGAATTGTGGTAAACTCACAATTGCGAGAAATAAGACTTTTTCTCGCAATTGCGAGTTTATATCTCGCAATTTGACATCTTTTCTCAGAATTGTGAGATATAAAAAAGTCAGAATTTCGAGTTTATTTCTTGCAATTGCAAGTTTATATCTTACAATTCTAACTTTATTTATCGTAATTGTGACTTTATATAACGCGATTCTGAGATAAAGTCAAGTATATTTTTTATTCTGTGGCGAAAACAAGCTTCCATATTTGTCTTGCTCTTATACGCGTCTTCTACATGTTTGCCCTTCTGTTCATAGTATGTTCCTCTCTCTCTCTCTCTCTCTCTCTCTCTCTCTCTCTCTCTCTCTCTCTCTCTCTCTCTCTCTCTCTCTCTCTCCCTCTCTCTGCCCACTCTAGCATTCCTGGAGCGCTTGTAGAGTTTCTGTTGGGTTCTCTGATCTCGGCACAGAACCGACGGGTCGGAGAGAAACTCCCCCTGAATTCCTCAACATGAAGGTCAGGAGGGAGAAAGCTGGGGTCCGAGTGCTCCTAACAAGCATTATAGTTTATCCCTAACCCTCACCCTAACCAACCCTGACCGTAACTAACCCTCACCCTAACTAACCCTGACCGTAACTGACCCTAACACTAGAGCTAAAGCCATACTTTTCCCAGAAATGAACAATCTGTCATCATTTACTCGCCCTCAAGATGTTCTTAACCTTTATGACTTTCATTCTTCTGCTAAAACACCAAACACACACTAAACAAACGGTATTGATTACCAACCGACTTCCATTTTCCCTTTTATGGACCAAAACCAAAACAAAAAAAGGGCGTTTTCAAGCATACATCCAAAAAAAAAAGTGTAATACATCTTTAAATTTGTTTGTTTTTCTGTAAGTTAGAACATGTCCTGTTTAATTTAAATAATGTAAAAAAAATAATGGATTTTTACCATGATTTACAAAAGACACCCACTAAAATGTGACTCAGTGTCACAATAGTTTATAACCAAAAAGTCTTGACATTAAAATGCTTTATTTAAGGCTCAAAGTCCCCACTTTGCCACTATCCTCCAAATCACTATTTTTACCCATTTGTCAGTAAGAAGGTTTCGTTAAAAATATCTTCTGTTAAAGTGAGTGATGAGCTCAACTGCCCATATTAAGTATATGGATCCCAAATTCTTTATTATATGAAAAATTCTCCTGTGCAAGAAAGTACGGTAAGTCATACGAGTTTGAAATAATGTGAGGGTGAATAAATGAAAATAATGTATTTATTTATTTAACAATAATATTAACTATCCCTTAAGACAATGCATTTATAAAATAATGTCAATTATTAACGTTGCAAAGCATCTGTAAAATACAGCACTTTGGGACCATAAATAATGTTTAAAACTCAATATGCAGGGCAGTGGATTGAAAAAAACCTGCAAGGTCTAGAGACACTTTTATACTTTGGGAACTTCTTTTAACTTAATCTCTGTGTTTTACAAATGCTGTAATGCGTGAGAGCCTCCAGAAGATGAGGATGCAGCGGTTAATCACGTTAATCTAGTGCATATTTACATAAACAACTATTAAAAAGCTGCGCAGTGAATGCAAAAAGAGTGAATGTAAAAAGAGGTTCTGTGCGGGGCTCGTTTTAGCATTTAAAAACGCCAAATGTAGGGCAGTGAAATAGGATAAAAACGATGTCTAGAAACACATTTTTATTTTGTGAACTTCTGAGTTTAACACAATGTCATGTGCGAGACGCTATAAGCATGTGAGTGATGTGACCCGTGCTCACCGCTCAAAAGCCTGGAACACACCAAGCCGACGGTCGGCCGTCGGGCAGTTTTTGTGCGTCGGCCGACTGAGTTTCCTCGGTGTGTTCCGCACGGTTCCGTGCCGTCGGCTGAAATGGGTCCTCGTCGGCTTTGTTTCGGCCGATTCGACATGTTGAATCTGCGTCGGGCCGTCGGTGAAAGAGGGAACTCTGATTGGCTGCTCAGCTTAGTGAAAGAGTCAATGCACGAGAATAATAGCAAAACAGCGAGCAAAGAAGTCAAAACTCTACAGATAGAAGGCAGCTCTTATGTTACATCATCTTACCTGAGTGTTCCCTGGTGAATATTTCAATATTAACACGAGCGGAGTGGAATAAAGAAAGTGTTTAGCAGGATTGATATTTAAAACGGTAAGCACGCACTGCTAGCCTGGTTCTACCAGACTCTCGTACATTTCATTTGTACAGAGAGTCTGGCACCGCTCCATTGACAATCGTTGACTTCCTTGTAGGCGGGTACTCTATTGAAGTCTAAAACTATTGGATCTGCCCAGAGTCACTCTGGATCTGCCACCAATCACTAACGTTTGCTCGTGATGTATGTCGAACCCCGTGGGGACTGGGGAGGAGGGCCACAATATCATGGCGAAAATAAACCTAAGCAAAGATTGTTCTTGCTCCGGCTTTAACTTCTTAATATTCGGCAGCGTTGCTACAACGGACCGAATGGCTTCGCTCGCATCTTTCTCCGCTGCCATTACTGAACTACAACTCAAAATAACGCACGACGTCATCGTTCTCAGCCACTCCCTCTGTTCGCTGATTGGCCCTACAAAAAATTGATCGGAGAAAAACCAAAGTCTACAGCACAATCCCAGACGTAGTACTGAAGGAAAATGAAATTGAGCGGAAGTGCGTAGGAGGGCGGAGCCAGGCTAACGCACTGCTGCTTTGTTTACGGTATGTGTATCTGCAGCCGGCAGCGTCGGTTTCCCTTTTTGAATGACGAATATAGACTAATATATCTGCAGAAATAGACAGTTGTCTCATTTACACGCAGGCGCAGAACGCGCATTCTAGCTGACAGTCGGCTGTAGTTCTCTCGGTGTGTTCAAGTGCAGCTTTTTCCCCCGACGAGAGGCGACAACACAGTCGGCTTTCATCAGCGCTAGTTCGTCGGCGTCGGCTTGGTGTGTTCCAGGCTAAAGACATCCATCTAGTGCATGTTTACATATGAAAAACTGCCCAGGAATGCAGAAACACGTTCTGTGTCAACAGGCTCCTATAGCAGCGCATGTTTACACAGACCAGCAGAGAGATACAGCGCTGATGACGGGCGAGCAGCACGCCTGTGTGTTCCTGAGGGACCGCTGCACTCTCGCTGGGTGTGTGTGTGTGTCCGAGCTGTACTAGTTGAAAGAGAAGGAAACGAGAGAGACGCTTCTGAGATCTTGACGGGAAGCAAAACAGCTGCTTTATGTCAAAGGTGCCGAGTATTTTTACTGAGAGCGTGAGAGCCGTCAGAGAGAGACGTTACACACTCTCACACACACACACACACACACACAGTTCTGAGGAAAGTGTTCACTCTCACTGACATCTGTGATCTACGTACATGTGCACCTACATATTTGACCAAATTTTTGACCACTGCCGAGCACCGTACAATACGCTACGCAACTTATTAGTTTGCATTTCAAAGATCTATCCTACACTTATTACTGAAAAGTATTTACAAGAACAATATTTCATCAGCTCACAAAAGAGAACGAGAAGAAAAGCATGTAAACATTTGAAATGGGCTGTTATTATGGCAGCAATTATATACATAAACAAAAATAAACCAAGCAGATTTGTGTTTACCTCGTGTAAATAAGAGGCTGCATTAACTTATTTCCGATAATTTTCACATTTTTAAAATGACACCCATCATTTTGAGATAAAATACAATACAGACAATTATTTTATCTATAGTGCGTGACTGCGTATATATCTTCTCATTTTTAAACAGGATATTTAAATAATCAAATCAGAAATAGGACATTAGGTTATTTTCCTATTAATAAATTAAATATGAATTTACTCTTATTATAATCATATGAGTGACTGCTTGTTCCCGGGTTCATGGGATCACAAAACTCGCTCCTCGACTGAATAACTCGCCATCCGAGTGCATGAGTTTATCACTGAGGTGCCGTGCTAATGTATCATTACAGACGTCCACATGAGAAACAACTACGGCTTTAGACAGTAAGGACTTTGGAAAATGCATTGAAGATGTGATGTGTGTTCAAATGATTTTAGACGAAATTGTGTTGTGCAATTTCATAGCGACTGTCGACAAGAACATTATGCTTTTTAATGTCCGTGCAACAAACCCAGGTGTGTTTTAGAGAGTGCTGGGAAATGTAGTCGCTCCTGTTATCAGTTCATGCATTCCCTGGGAATCAAACCCATGACCTTGACGTTGCTAGCGCCACGCTCGGCTCTTCTCTAAATGACAGTAAAACATGAACAAACTAAAGGCACAAGCAGCTTCACCTTCATTAATTCTCACTCCGAGGATCAGGAAACACTGCAGACCAGAGAACATTTCCAGCCGCTCCGACTGACGTGTTCCTGGAGAATAGCCGGAGAACATTCCCAAAGTGTTTACTAGATCTCAGTCCTGGACAATCTCTCATGACTCAGGCGAGAGTGTGGATCTGTGCTCTGGCGTCTCTAAACACCACAACAGGCGCTGTTCGCCTGGTGCTTTAAGAGCAGGAGTGTGTTATTATGCACTGGATTCGTGTTATTTATTTAACTCAATTTGAAGTCAAAAGGAATGTCTGAATTATTACATGATTCTCAAAGTGACGTTTTTAATGAAGAATCTGTATTTGTGTACCTGTGTTTTGTAGGAATGGGTGAAAAAGCCATTCTCTGATGTTTCATGATTCTCTTAGTTTTTAATGAAACTGATTATGAATTGATAATCCCTCACTGTGATTGTCTGGAAGACTTTCAAAGCACTTTGTGTTTCATACTTGTAATGTGATTCTTTATATTTTATATATTCAAAACTTTAGTAATAATTCTCAACATACCATTATTTTTATGTATTATCAATTTGTAAGTATTTTAAAAAGTACTTATAATTATATAAGTGATGTAATAAAAATGCACAGATAAATTAGATATTCAATGTTGTTAAACTCATTAATTATTTAAAACAAATGTAGGTCAAGAATCGTTTTAGAATGGGATCGTGAGGTGCCTAAAGATTCCCACCCGTAGTATTTTCCATAAGCGTCATTATTATTAATAATAATAATAATAATAATGCATTTACTGTAAATTAAATTAATTCTAAACAAATACAGTGGAGTAAAATATCAATACTCACACATATTTGATTCATTGTAGTTCTTCATTTGCATTTTGCGGTCTCAGTCTCAAAAGTTATTGTTTTAAAATGTACATCCCGTTTTATAAAAATAAGAGATGCTTGGCATCATGTTCCCAGGGAATGCAAGAACTGATCAAATGTGTGCTTTGACAGCCGTGTGAGACACTTTGGATCAAAGCCTAACTGACTGCAGACTGGACTCCTGTAACGCCTCTTCTGATGATGATGGGTCAGTGTGTCCGGCTCTGCGTAACTAATGCAGGAAAGCAGGAGCACTGAGACGTCCATCCCAACAGCCACCTCAGAGCTAGCATAAGATGAGACCAGTTCACAACGAGAACAATCA